GACAGGATGTAGTTTCTTTGTGCTTTGGTTTATTTTAGTGGCATTTCTGTTAAAGATCTTTATTTTTCCTTATCTAAGAGGAAGGGTAGTACTGACAGTGCCTGACTTGGACTTTTGAAGGAATTGGGTTTAAAGAGACAGGCTAAGCTGAACCCCAGCCTGGGTTCTTTGAAAGCCTTGCTGCCTGCACAGGCACTTAAGTGAGCTGTCAGGTTCCTTAAGTGATACCTAAACCAAGACTGTTGTTGCACTTTTTAACTCCTACATTAAGTGAGCCATGCAGAAATAACTGGAATGAATGTACACTCAGCAGACTTGTTTTATCAATGTTTCATTATCCTAAGAAGCATAATTACTTCATTTATGGTTGCTCTCAAGGGGACTTCATTGCCAGCTAGGATGTGCTGGTTAGGTATGATCTGCTGCATGTCACCGGTGTTAGGCTGGAGAATAGCCTTGTTGCTTCATATTTACTTTAACCTGCTGGGATCAGTTCTGGCATTTGGGGAGGTGGTAATGTGACTCAGAGTCCTTTTGTGGAAGGTCAAGTTTCAAACTTCATTCTGTTTATTGCTTTTTGAATTCTGGGGTTTATCACCTAACTTGGAGTGTACAGGGACTTACTGGTGAACTCCTGACTTGAGTGCACAGACATTGATTTTATTCAGCATCTTGAAATGCATGGAGCAGCAGCTATTGATGGGGAAGCAAGTGCTGGCTTCTCAAGCAGCACAGGCACGCAGAGTCCAGTATCTTTATCTGGTCTACCTCCTTTTCTTCTCCAGGAACACTGATGTCTTTTGAAGACTGTCAGATCTACTCTTGCCAGGAGTGGAGTTTGCAGAGAGGATAATTTGCTTTGAACAGACATCTTGTGGTTCTCTCTTGCCTTAACTTGTGCCAAGTGTGGTTTCATAGTGATTTGAGAAGATAGAGATTTGATTGTTTGTTCTAAGAAGAAGACCTGAATTAATCTTGTACTTTACATTCACTTTACACCTGTTATGTCAATTTTTGTGATGCTTTCTAATCATCTCAATGCAGACACATTCTTCTTCAGCTCAGTGATTTAAGATAAGAATACTCAGTTGAGAGGTTTTTTTAATGACAAAAAAAAGTTGAAATATGTTCTAAGCATCATTCCAGTGCTGTTGGTTTATTGATTTGGGGTTGGTTTGAGGGTTGTTCCCTCTCGTCTCTTGGGTGACAAATCTGAACAGAAGTTGACATGAATCCAACATGTCCTGAAGCAGTTAATAGTTGCTCTGGAGTTTTTGGTAGCCGTGTCCTGCTTGGTGTTTGTGATATTTGAGTATCACAACTACCGCAATGATGATATTTGAAATCAAAACCACCAGTGAAATTGTAGAAGCTGTATTGGAGGTTTGGGGATTCTTCAGCATCTGCTTTAGTGAGGGATTCTGTGCAGAAAAAAAGAAAGTGGATGTTTAAAGTTTTGAATACACTGTAACTGCAATGGAAATAAGTTTTGTTTGGGTTTTTTTTCCCCACTTATTTTGGTTCTGAGAAGTTGACCCACACAAATGGCAAATTCTGCATCTGTAATACTGAAGAGTTGTAAAAATCTGTAATAAAACAATAGTGCAGAAGAGCATCACGATGTAACAGATTCTTTGGTAACGTTGCAGCAGGTTTCTACCTAGCAGAGTTGTCATTACCTTTAGAACTGGACAGATGGAAACGTGCTGCTGAAGCAAAGCTTGGCAAAAAAGAAACTCATGGTTCTCACTGTGTGCCTGCTCATGGTTTACAACTGGTCCTTGGTAAAACTCACTGTTTTTTCTGTTAATCATGAGAGATACTGTGAGAATTAATCTCTGCTTTCAAGTGTGACCTATTTGTGCTTGAATCCTTTTCACATTATAGACGTGTCTGGTTTCTAGCATATGGGTGCAAAAATCTTTCCCGATTGAACTAAATGGGAACATGTTTAAAATGCCGTTAGAGTTGAGAGAGGTTAAGAATTATTTAAAAGGATGAGAATATTTTTTATTGCTATTAGGAGCATGATTAATTCTAAGTATTTCTTAGCTGTGACACCTCAAAGCCTGTGGCACAAGGTGCTTTTCTTAGGTGAAGCTTTGGGCTCAGTAAAAATGAGAACAGTGAGCATAGTGGGAGTAACAACACAAGCTGTTTCAAACAGCTTTTCCATATTGACCACTGCAAATTGTGCTGAAGAGTTTGTCAGATTGGGGCCCTAAAGCTTATCTTATTAACAGCTTTGCAGCTGTAACTTAAAGCCTGTTGCTTTTGGTTTCTGCCCCTGTGTCTGTCCTTGTAGTTTTGTTCTACTAGGCAATACTTACAGTGTGAGGATTTAAACTATGGTGGAAGAAGTCATTTATGTTTAGCATCTGGCACAGCTTTTCTGTAGCACCAAAAGCCAAGTTGAATGGGCTGTTAGAAGATACACAGATTATGAAAAGGCTGACTGATTAACAATGTGCTTTTTAAGTGGTCTGGCTTGAGCACGGGCCCTGGTCCCCGTGTGTGCTTCATCAACAAATGTCATGTTTGACAAGCTGAAATCTTCTCTTGCCATTCATAACTCTTTCTGAACGCAGATCCTGCACACACCACTCCTGTAACTAGGAGCGAGTGCTGCTTCTGCTGCTCCGAGGAGCACACCTCGATCCAAAGGCCATCAGTCTGTGTGAAAAGCGCTTCCGTGATCTCACAAAACACAAACTTTGAACCAATTGCTCTGATGCTTTGTTAGTTTTGAACTTGAGTAATTCCTTTCATTAGCAGAACAAAGGTAATGTGTTTACAGCAAAGAGTAACTTAATCAGATTCTTCATTTACACATTCCTCTTACCTGAATGATCGGCAGACCTGAGGTCTCTCTTCACGCGGATGGGACCTGCTGCAGTGTTGGTTTTCCACAGGTATGAGGAAGTGGCTCTTTTTTGCCGGGAGATGCAGCCTTGGGTGCAGCGGGAGTTGGTGTTGCTGTCACAAATCAGAATGTCACACTGGAGATAAACGGATGCAAAGCTCTGCAGGAACTTGAAGGCGTTAAATTTGAATCTGGCATAGTGTTCCAGCAGTGGGTAGGTTACCACAGTGTCATCTTTATTGCAGCTGCAACAGAATTTACACATCTGTTAAAGCAGTCCAAAGACTGAGCATTCTATGTACCGTTAACTCTTAAGTACAGGGTTTAATTAGGGTGTTTTTACATGTGGGTGCACAGTGATGTGCTGCTTTTCCCTCTTCCCAGTGCAATGTGTGTGTTTGTTTTTCCTAGCTCTGTTTATGTAAAGCCTTTAAGTTTCTATGAAACTTAGCTTCCAGACAGAGTCTGGTAGAGAAATTAAGTGTAAGAGAGACAAAAATAAAGGAACTACAGTTGACATTTAGATTCTAGTTTCTTGCCTATTAGGAGGCAGTAATAAAATGAATTACTTGCCCACCTTAATAATGAATTTCTTACCCACTTCTGATTAAGTCATACGTTAGCGATCCAAAATCATGTTCTGGTGATGCTATGCAGGTATCAATAAACACCAGAAGGTTTGGGTCAGTGGAGTGAAGAGTGACTTGAGCAAAAAGAGTTTGGTTCAAGTCTACGTAATACGGGGTCTGATGTATCGGCCTGGAGAATGAACCTGAATCATAGAACGACATGCTAATGTTGTATCTTCCCACAGCAGTTGTGTTTTGGATTATGTTATCTTCTGTTATGTAAACGACTTCCAAGGTTGAATTGTTTTCCATTTTGCATTTTACAATGATCTGTATGCTCTTCTGACGGGTGATGATGTAGCCAGTTGCAGAGAGAGATATGATGTTGGTGTAAGTGATGCTGTGACCATCATCCTGTAAAGGGAATCGTATGAAGTGCTCAGCTGGGATTATAAGAGTGGTGCAGTTGAAAGCAATTGTAAGTTACAAAGGCCCCCAACTATGCTTGTCAGAGGCTCAAGATACCTTTGAAAGGTAAAACAAGTTGCAACTGAAAAACCATTATCAACCCTCCTGTTTTCTCAAAACACTGAACCAGCCCGTGACGCAAAAAGGTTAAGGAATGCTGTGTGGAGTGTGGGAAGTACCAAAGCTGTGCTAGGCACTAGCTCCTGGGAATCTTCACGTGTTGAGGTTTTTCCCCTTCCTTCCCTTGTGACTCCAGGGTTACTTAGTGCCAGCCCTAACACTTGGAGAGAATGTTTAAATTACTTATGTAACATTGCGCTACTTTTGATGACATGGGTTTGAGAGGGAATTTAGCATTTGTGGTTAATTTGTGTGGATTCTCCTGGATTTCCTTTGAAAGGCTCTTTCATCGTCAGGCTCTCAGAGGAAAAATACTGTTTCTACTTCAAGACTGGAAACATGCAATGGGATGAGCTAAGTGAAAGTAAATCAGCTTATTCACATGCTATTCAGAAGCTGCCTTTACAAGCTCTTACCATTCATAAGACATTCTCAGCTTAATCCCATAATTTATCTCCCACTTTACCTTTTTAGTTGTTCCACAGCTGGATAATGGGAAGGAAAAGATCACTGAATCTGTGATGACTGGACTGCAAGATGGATCATTCAGCCTTACATGAGTTTCATTATATCCAAGGGAGGCCAGGTAAGACTTGTTTAGAACAATTTTCATGCTATCTGAAGAGCATGTAAGTAATGCTGCCATTGAAGGAGAAATAAGAAAACAAACCAGGTTACCACAAACTGCTGCAGTCATTTCTCACTTGGTCTAGATCCTGGAACCTGTTGCATGGTTCTTGATTTGTGAGTCTGAAACTGCTCATGCACATTTGAGGTCATGCAGAAGTTGGAACAAAACTTCATGCTTGGCTTCAGAAATGTTTGATAAGCAAAACCATGTTGAAATACTTAAAGTTTAGTTTAAAAGCCAGTAACACAGAATGAATTGCAGCCTTTATAAAAGGGAAAAGGAGTCAAAGTGCTAGTGCAGGATGCTGTGTGTGAGAAAATTGATTTATGGCAGACATTGAGGCTTTAGTCTCCCTGTCCACCTCGGTTGATGTGAAGATGGGCATGCAAATGTAAGGAGCCAGTAAGGAAAATGGTCCAGCTCTGGGGGAAAGGAAATTGCAACACACCCAAACCCTGTTAGACTAACCAGTGTGGACCATTTTCCTGAGTATCTCAAGGTAGAGAAAAACCCAAACCATTGAAACTAACCAGTCAAAAAAGGTTTCTCTTTAAGTTTCTAGGATGTTAACAATACCTGCTTTGTCTAAAAGAGGGGAAAAAAGCAGGTTTTGATTGATGCTGGCGAGGAAAAGGACCAAAAAGTGAAAGAACAGGTTTGCTTTTGCAGATGGATCAAGTGATAATTTTTGCTCTATAGGTGAGATTAACATGGGATGTATGAATGTAAAGAGGGTTAATGACTACCAGTAAAAAGGTTTAAATCCTTAGTACCAGCCATCAGTTCTCTTTGTTACTTACAAGGGAAGAATCAGTCTTCCAGTAACTAAAGGAGCCACCAAGAAACCTGGAGAGGGGCTTTGGACAAGGGCCTGTAGGGACAGGACAAGGGGAATGGCTTGAACCTGCCAGAGGGGAGATTGAGGTGAGCTCTGAGGCAGAAGCTCTTCCCTGCGAGGGTGCTGAGGCGCTGGCAGAGGGTGCCCAGAGAAGCTGTGGCTGCCCCATCCCTGGCAGTGTTCAAGGCCAGGTTGGGCACAGGGGCTTGGAGCAACCTGCTCTAGTGGAAGGTGTCCCTGCCCATGGCAGGGGTTGGAACTGGATGAGCTTTAAGGTCACTTCCAACACAAACCAGTCTGGGTTGTATGATATATATGAGAATGAGAAACATCCTATTCATGAAGCAGTGGTACTTACTGCTGGGCTCCACAGGACCACTTGGCAGGGGAGAACTGGTATAATGAGCAGAAAAACCTCTGTAGGAGTTGGCATAGTCTGTAGACAGCACAACTGTCATAACATTTGAAGAAGATTCAAATGTGGGCTGAGAACGACCACATACTTTTCCTATTAAGCCAGTGTTAGTGGTGAGGCCATCATAGACTGCTATGAAGTCAAACTGGCAGTTCTGGTCTAGTTCCAGGCTGTAGATAGAGGAAAAAATAATTACAGGGAAATCTGAGCATAGAGTGAACTGCTCATAGTGGAAAGAGAATCCAGAGCAGATGAAATGTCTGATGAATTCCAGTCAACTGAAATAGAAGAATGAAAAATAAAAGAATACATAAACAGGCATATATAAGAACAAATAAAACATGGAAAACCCTTAAAGGCAAGAAATGCTTCAGTGTGAGAAGCAGAGGGACCCTGGCCAGGAGTGGGAAGAACACACATCACACTGTGCAGAGGTTGTCATCTAAAAACCAAATCTAAAAGAGTATTACTATGGCATTTACTCACAACAAATCCTGGAACTCTAAGTGTATCTTTGAGTTTTTTGGTGCTTGTATGTGCCAGACACAGTATGTAAATTCAGGGTAACGTGCTGGGTAGTTTGGGCTGGTCAGTGTCCCGTTGGGACCGGTTAATAGTCCCCCACAATTTTCAGTTTCTGGAAAGAAGAGTAGATATATTGGTAACATAATAACATATGTAATGAGCCATAAAGATCTGAAGTTATGTAGCAGGACTGTTTCTTTAGGATCCCATTCCTTTGGAAATTATTAGAGGTACTAATGGTAGAACTTCTCTATAGAATTTCAGGTCAGGTGGATGTTACAAAATGAAGCCTCTTGTCTCTTTGGTACATCCACGAGGCACAGTGTAATGATATCTGAGGTGGCTGTAGGTGAGTTAGCTTGGGTACCATGAGCAATTTAGTTTTTATCTAGATTTTGGGTAAATTAGGTGCCATCTTGAAAAACTGGTAATGAAGATGCTCCACCAACCAAAAGAAACCTTGGGAGTCTTTATTTTAGAGAAATCTCTGAGGCCTTGGTCATGATCTATATGGAAGAGCAAAATCTTCCAAATTTAAGAGAGATTTTACCTGATAGGCAAAATAAAATCAAGTCAGTGGAAATTTCAGAAAGACAAATGTGAACTAGAAATAGGGCATGATTTTTCAGCAGCAGCATCAAGCACTGGAGCAGCATAAACTAGGATGTGATAACTATGTAAAATTGCTTTTAGGAACTTAAACCATGCCACTCAGATGAGCAGAAGCAAAGGAACTGGTCACAAACTAAGACTGATTCTTCTCTTTCCAGGGGGGAAAAAACAGGGAGCTTGTTGTGTGAAAACCTGTACTGACTTTGGTGACCTGTACAGTTCTGACTAGATGGTCATATTCTCTTACTGGCAAATGCTGTAATACTCGCCAACTGAGTAAATTTAGTAGAAGCAGAGTCCCATAATGCCTCCTTTGCGATCATGTTTTCTGAGTAAAGTTTAACTTTGTAGGCTCTCTGCAAGTGCACAGTTGTCTTTCTGCCTCTTTCCTTTCACTGATTTTCCCCCCGCACCATTCTCTAACACCTGAAGATCTAAGTGAGACTAATTGAAGATTGTATTAATAGTCTTAAAGTTTCTTTTAGTGGGGGAAATCAACTGTTTGTTAATCACTTACTTGTTTCTGGCTCCAAGTAGTAATAGACAAAGAAGTTTCTTGTAAAATCCACGGAGTTTGTTGTTATGACAAATCTTAAACTGCCAGAAGATGATTGAAATACTGGGACCGCATCAGTGTTGTTACATACTTGTCCAAGAAGAGTTGCATTAGTTGAGACACCATCATATACCTTAATACTTTCTGTTTCACAGCTTGAAGAAGGAGCAAATCTATTGAAAAAGCACAGTGACAACTAGCTGAGCTCTCTGATAGGTAATACAGGCTCATCGATCACTACATAGATGAGTGGTGTTCCTCAGGGATCAGTGTTTGGACTGATCCTGTTCAACATTGTTGGTGGCATGGACAGTGGGAACGAGTGCACCCTCAGCCAGTTTGCTGATGACACCAAGCTGTGTGGTATGGTAGACACACTGGAGATAAGGGAAGGGATCCAGAGGGACCTGGGCAGGATTAAGTGCCAACCTCATGAAGTTCAACAGGCCAAGTGCAAGGTCTTGCACCTGGGTCAGGGCAATACCAACCACAAATACAGTACAGAAATACTCACTTAAAATAGGAGAAAATCAGCCTAATTGTTTGATTTTCATTCCTCTGAATTTGCCAGGCACAGTTTGCATTTGCATTTAGGTCAATCTTGAATGCTTTGTTGAGGTCATTAAATGAAGCACCACAGCGAGGTACACCTATGGAAGAACAGCAACAACAAAAACCAGCTTGCAAGGATCTCTCTTGAGTTTTCTCTTGCAATAATATTTCATCCTCCGCTATGCAAAGACTGGGTGAGTCCATTGTGGAACAGACATGCAAAATGTTGTAGGTTTTTAATTTCAGTTTATGAAAGCTGAAGAATCAATAGAGAAAGAGTAGTAGAAGTATTCTTATCCTCATTTTCCTAGTAGCAGAGAAAAAGCGGAGTTAGGGGAACACATCTCACAGATTAAGCCAATGGCCAAATTGGACATGCCAACTGATACAGGGTACCTCAGCAACTCCCTGCAGCAAGGCTTGTCACCAGAGGTACTTCAAGCCTCCAGTCTTCCCCCTATACTGTGTTCCTAAAGATCATTAAATCTAGTTCTGAGGTTCAGCCCTTGATTTAAAAGCATTTTGGAACCTACAGGCAGGTAACCAAAAAGACACTTCAGATTTGAGCTCTTAAAGGGCTGTGTTTAGGACTGCTGTGTATTTACTGTTGCATACAGTTCTGATCCTCCATCTCTAAAAGGGTACTGCTGGACAGGAAAAGCTTCAGAGAATGGCAATGAAGATGATCAAAAGTTTGGAATAGGTCCCAGACAAGGAATAAGTAAAGGGAGTGGAATAAGTAAATGCACTTCCCTGGCAGTGTTCAAGGCCAGGTTGGATGGGGTTTGGAGCAACCTGCTCTAGTGGAAGGTGTCCCTGCCCATGGCAGGGGTTGGAACTGGATGAGTTTTAAGGTCCCTTCCAACACAAACCATTCTAGGAATCTGTGATCCTATAACTGAAGCATTTCATGTCAGAAAGGGGAGAACTAGGGGGAAAAGGAGGTGCTGGAGGTCTATACATTCATGGAGAGGGTTAATAAGAGATATTGTCTTCCAATACAGTAATTCAGTGTTCTGGAATGAAACCAGAAAGTTGTGTTTTTGGAACAAAGAAGGAGCTGGCTCTTTACATGTAGATGTTTGATGCAGGGTGATGTGGATGGCAAAAGTAAAACATAAAACAGGTCAAATCAATGAAAGGAAAAGCCTTTGGTAACTATTAAACACAAAGACAGAATTTCCTCTGTTTCAGAAGTCCTGAGCCACATTTGCTGGTGACTGGGAGAGTATTTTGGGGAAATTCTATGCAGGCTTGTATCTATGTTCTTGCCTAAGCATCCTTGACTGCTTCTGGGTTTAGGATGCTGGGCTAACTGGGCTTCAACACAGTTCTCATATGGAAGAGCCACAAACCAATCATGGTTGACATTGCTGGCATGGCAATGTTAATAAGTTATGAAGTAGTTGCTGTAATGGCCATTGTATGGGAAACTTTCTAGAGAAAGTTTATAATCCAGTTTGGGCATAAGATCTTTCTACTTTAGTAATGATCTAAAAATAATGGTCTAAAACAGGATTATGTAGTCTATTATATATAGTCAATGCAGTCCCAGTCGAAAAGGCCAGTCTTTCTGATGAACTCCAGAGGGAAAAGTAAGGTTTAGGAGAGACCTTTCTTTTCACATATGAAACCTCCGAGTTGTAACAGCATTGCAAGGTCAGCCCTACCCTCCCTCTGCACTGTTCTGGAGACAGGCACTAGTAGAGCAGCTCTGCAGCAATTTTTTGTTATCCCACAGTAGCTACCCACCATTAATCAGGGAAATCACTGATCAGAACACAGAATGGTGATCCCAAATCGAGCAACAAATGACTCTTTATTGCTTCTGAGTGAGGAAAGGAAAAATGACCAAATCTCTTAAGAAGCAACTATGTCCCAATTGAGTCACTTTACTCATGTTACTCCAATATAGCATTAATATATAAATGCAATTTTCCATTCCAGAGTAAAATCTCTTCAAAATCAAATTCTTAAGTTAAAAATTTGCCCTAGGGAATTATATATTGATTTGTAATTGTTAGTATTTACCTTTTTTTAACACCTGCTGGCACATTGGGATCTTACTATTGTGCAGCAGTAGGTTAAAATAAGATGCAATTTTAGAGATGTTTAACATTTCCCCTTCAGCTGCCTAAAAAAATACCCGTTGTGCAAAAATTAATCACATTTCAGAGATTAACAAATAACAACCAGACTAGATTTCCATACCTGAGTCGTCATCAGCGAGAGCCAGAGCAGCAAAGAGAGGCAGGAGGAGGAACTGTCTCAGCACCTGCATTTTGATGGCCTCTGAGGAGGTTTGGCTCGTCTAACTTTTATACCTCCTGCTATTTCATAATCATCTTGTATTACATGGTATCATGGAGGGAGAGCTTAATCTCTCAGTTCCTGTTTCTTTTGAACAGATATTAATGAGAAAGTAACAGGTGTACCTACCTTCTTTGTATGTACTATGTGGAGTAAGTTTACCTGTGCTTTTGTCGGCTCTTGTGGGTTCAAAGCACATTTTTCTGTTGATTTCATTGAGTGTTTGTTTG